GAAAAGAAGGGAGATATCAAGGAACAGAAAATTAGAAGCTTTAGGATAGGAATGATAGAGTATTTTTTATGTAAAGGTAAACTATATAAATATTTCGAATTGCTGTAAAAGAGAAAAACTCTTTAGAATTTAAAATTATGTCTCACTAGATTAGATTAAATAGGGAAAAATTAAACTTCTCAAGTTAAATTTTTGTCCATCATTTACTGTTACAGTACATCATCCCATATGTAAATATTCGCTTATATGATAATGATGATATATTGTGCAACACAACTACAACACGTTCAGTGCTTTTAGTGCATTGATATCGTAATAACTTAAGTACGTTGATGTCACTTGTCCTATTGGATAGGCATCCATGAGGCTTTGCTGTTGTGTTTCGTCACTACCACTGATATCACTTGACCGAACTACCACCGTTTCAACGCTACCCTCTGCTTCACTTGTTAAAAAGCCAACTTCCGTTGTTGCAGCTATAGTTGTTGTTTTAAGTGTGGATGTTGTTGTAGCCGTTGCGGATACAGCTAAATTGTTACTATTAGTGACATACGTTACTTCATCACCCAATGGTTGATGATAATGATGATGAGTGATGCTGGTATTAGTAGTTCTTGATTGATCGAAAGTATCAATTGTTGTACCGCTACTTGTATCAATGATTGTGGTATCGTTTGATGCTGAATTGGACGCTCCTGTTAGTGTTGGTGCTGTTGGGAAATCCGATACTGAAACAATTATCGTTTTCAATTGACAATTATAACAAATTTTCCGGAGATCAAAATAAAATAATTGGCTCAATGATAAAGAAAGTATCATCTTTAGCAAGAAAATCAAAAATATTCAAATTCGCTCATTCAACTATCAATTTATTAAGTTTCAATTTTTACGATATTATCCTAATACTAAAGTATTTATGGTTATCCGGAATATCGGATAAGCATAAAAATAGTACGGTGACTACAGTAGTTTTTTGATGTTAGCAATATCATTTCTGTTTTGTTTTACAAATTAAATCCTTTAATACGCACCTATAACAATATGGTCTTAAAAAAATTCGGGTAAAATTTTCCCTAGAAAATTTTACCCGAATTTTTTACTTTCCTTTTGTAGAATGACCAATTATAGCAATAGTTTTGATACGCAAATAATTGCATATCTCAGTGTATTTAAAATACAGAAAACGAACTACTAATGAGTTTCTTTTCATGCCAATAATTAAAGAAATTGAAATTTCCAAAATAAGGAATCATTTTTCAGTAAAATAACAAAAATTTTTTTTCAGTTAGATTTTTAAAATTAAGACTCAAAAATTTTTTTCATTTAAGCTTAATGGTAATTGGATTTACTGTATGAAATCTTTCTATGCAACAAAATACATCAATTTATCTTCGCCGATTTCTACTTTTGTAGCCAAAAAAACCCACTAAATCCCTTTCTACACTCATTTCTACTCATATAAATAAATTAAGTGGAAGCAAGCAAAAAAGATAAAAAACTTGCAAAAATGCAAAAAAAATAGAATGAATAATTAATAAAATGATTATAGATAAGGGTGATAGAAACTAATGATAACGAGATGAATAGTAACTGTGACAGGAGACAGCGAAAACATTCATGGCTCTATAGATCAATAGAACACAATTTTAATTAGAGATTTTTTTTTCTTAAATACTATCTTTAATATCATCATTAATATATTCAAAAATCAACAAATTCCTCTCAAATGAACTATCAAATACCAATAAAGTTCCTATAGAAGGAACAGCTGCACCATATAAATAAAGAAGTAAGTTAGTAAAAGTAAGAAATACGTTAAATTAGTCAAGTAAAAGACTAGATTCCAGAGAAAGTTATAAACCACGTCTTCCTAAAATTTATTTTTCGCAATTATTTACGATCACCTTCTGATTTTGTGGCCAATTTGTGGCAATGACTAATAATTTAATTTCATCATATCGTGGGTTATTTTTAGCATCTCATCTCACATTTTTCCTGACTATTACATTTTTTAGTTTTACAAAATAAATAAATTCGTATACATAAATTGTCTGGATGAAAACTCTCATCCTTTTTATTAAATTTGTAAATTTTGTTAAAAAAAAATTTAGAGCTGTAAGTAAATATATTTGTCGCGCTTTATTATTCCTTGAAAAATAATAAATTATAGATAACAGGTGTATTAGAAAATTGTTCAAATAAATTGATAAGAACAAAAATGGTCCTGTTTTTAACACTCAATAAATTTTTATTCATAATTCGAAAACAGTTGCGCATATATTTTTTCATATCTATAATTTGAATAGAAAAATTGTCATATGGTAATTCTAATATGTTTAAACACCTCAGCTTCGCTAACCAATCAATTACGATGAAGATGATTTATAATATAAATTTCCTCTATCTTCCATCTGTATCACTCTTTCTCTCTTAATTATAATTTCAACTTTTTTTTAAATTCAAAATTTGAATTATTCATAAATATGGAACTAACTGATCAAAGTAAGATAAACCATCGAATTAATAATATCCATATTTTGCTCTATAAAACATACACGCTAATCATCTACAACGTATACATATATATACATATATGAATGCACACATGCACACACAGTCATATGCAGTAGTAGCAGCTAACCTACCTGAGTTAATGAGGTTCATCGGTGCTAGATTAACCATCTCAATGCTAATAAATTTTTATCTACTAATCATACCGCCACATAAAGCATTTTAATTGCTTCATATGCACTTCCGCACACAAACACACAAACACACACACACATATACATATATATATATATATATATTGATGAATAGACATATTATATATTGTACTATACATTCACATAAAGATATACTATAAGCATATTGATATAAGCACCAATATTAACAGCAACATCGGTAAGAACCTTAATAAAGACGGAGTGGATGAGTCAGTTAAAACCGTCACACGCCATACTGACATTTTATTCGTCTATTTAGAATGACCTGAAATGATAACCCTGAATTATCTGGAAGAAAAAACGGCGAAGAACCCTTCATCATTCTCTTCCTATCACTCCTTTCTGTTAGTATGACCAAATGCATTATAAAAAATGATGCATCTAACAATTCCAAGAGCATATTAAACGATTTTGCTTTTTCACCAAGAATATTAATTCAACATTCTATTAATTTTACTTATTATGAAAATTTACAATCAGTTCAAATCTACTAGAACTCATATTTTAACGATAACCCAAAATCTATCTCTTAAGAATCATTTCCAGAAAATTATAATTAGAGAAATTATGCTATACTCCTTCATTCCAGTCATCATTTTAATTTTTTCCTATAGATTTGCATCAAATTTTTAAATGATAGAAAGTTGGAAAATGTGATTTTTGAAAGAAATTAAAAATGGTTCAAAATCTTTCGAACTATTTGTAAAATTTCCATTTTTAAGATATACAAATACCATAATCGCCAATTATAATATCATTGGGAAATAGGAAGCCAATATTAGATAGCATCAATACTCCCTTCGAAGAACTGCATGAAAAACAAGAGATGCTATTCGTCACAAACAATATCTGCTTGCATTATTATAACTTTGTAAAACTGGAAACAAAAGATTGAGAGGAAAAGAACAGAAGCACTTAATATTGAATGCAAGGTACTAAAAGACAACTCCTTTTTTCTTACGTAGAAATAAACTTTAAAACTTAATTAATACAGAATGTTTCTATCTGAATTTAAACACTATAT